CACTTTCTGTGCTACATGTGCAATATATTTGTTATGAATGTTATCACGAAGTCGGTTCATTCAATAATCTTTTAATCACCGTAGCTAGATGTTCTACGTCCATTCAAGTGACTTTTATTCGAGTGCAATATTTCAATAGACATGTAGTGACCTAGTATGCTTTGTGTTTTAGAGAATCTGTGTGCAGAGCAATGCAATTAAGTTTAAAACCTTGTAAATAAAACAAGTTACAAACCCCAAAAAAAGGAAAAAAAAAAAAAAGAGTATTAGGCTTGCATTTAATTTCTGTGAGTGTTTCAGTATCGTGCACTAGGCCGCCTCAGTACAGCCCCTGTGTTTTCTGTGCAGGTATTAATGGAGGAGTGGCTCCTCGGCTGTTGAATGCTCCCTGTTAATGCTTTACTGCTTTCACTGTACTCATTTTTCTAGACTCCTGTCTGCACAAAATGCAATAAATGATTTTATTACACCCTTCACTACTTGCATGGGGAGTTTTCACTTGCGTCAGGGTCTCCGCAGCTGTCTCCCCCTCGGCTGCTCCTGTTTCTGTAACAAGGAGCAGGCCCCGAGAGGGAGCAGCAGGTTGCAGAGGAATCAAAAATCAGGCGAGGAACAGCCTCTCCTGAGCGCCGCAGCTCCCACGAATCTCTGCCCCCCCCAGCAGAGCTGCTTTACCTGTCCGCAGGGCTGTTGAACCAGAAAAAGGGACCTGACAAAAGGTGACAGACAGACTCCCGGCAATTCCGGGCTGCATCGGGCAGCAGCCGCAGCCGGACCCGGGCCAGGGCTGCTGGTCCCAGCACAGCCCCTGCGGCAGCCGGGGGGGTCGGGCCCTTGCGCCAGCCCCACCACACGCTCCTGCAGGGGTCCTGCCCCCGGCTCTGCCCGAGACCACCCGCGTCCACCCCCTGAGAACGAGCCCCCGTAAGGTGCTTCAAAATGGCTCCCAGGACCGCGAGGGGCGGCACAGTTCCCTCAGGCAGCGAGAGCAGCAGCGGGATGTGTCAGGCGGTACTCAGTTCTCAAGTGTCAAAAATGCAACAAAACGTTTTTCCTGCCTTTTTATTAGAAAGTAACATCCTCTTATTAACAGCACAGAGAAAAAAAAAATGTTACAACACAAACCACCTGGGACAAAGAAACTCCTCTCTCCGAGAACACTGCTTGCTAAGCTTCGTTTGGTTCTCCACAGACTCCAAAGCAGCCGTGTTGGGGGGCCGCAGAGCTGGAAGATGTTCTGTGTTCTGGTATCAAAGTATGTTACTGGTTAAAAACACAGTGAAGAATCACTGCCCGATTTTCCACTCAACTGTCCACTGCAGCTACTGAAGTGTTGAAAAAAAAAATGTATAAAATTATGGGTATTGCATCTTGGCACTGCCTCTCCACCTTAGCTGGACAGAACATGGCTTGACAGCGAGATGAAGGCTCCAGGGGGGGACGTTCACCGCTGGGTGCAGGTACCCCAGGGAGGGCCCCCGGCACACCAGCGTGGCTGCCCTGGAGCCACTGGGCTACAGTCACCAACCATCCCGAAGCAAGGTTGTAAGAGAAGGGAATTTATAAGCCAAATTTAACAGATTGATCTTAACACTGACTACTCAGTGTAGGAAAACTGACAGACCGTTTGAAATCCCTGCCTTGGCTGGAAGCTCTCGTGTTTCAGACCTGGCACGGCACTCAGAGGAAAGCTGCCAGCTCCGGGGTGGGGTGGGAGCTCCCCCGCCTCACCCTGCCGGCACACTCCGTCCAGCCCGGGGCGGGGGGCCGGCCGGCAGGGCCTGGGCTGCTGAGCTGTGCCTGGCGCACGCTGGACGAGTTCAGCTGCGGGCACTGCCACTGTACTTCCCACCTGGCTTATATGCCGTTACAAAGAAATAAAAAAAAAAATCTAAAGGAAAATCGTGCCCATTCCAAATCAGTGAGTCTCCTGGAAGGCCCCGTCAGTGCACCGCTCTGGTCAGCCCTGTTTCCTCAAACCCCAGACCTAAAACTACCCTAAGACTGTTCAGTGAGACCAGACAGTGCCCACAGCGAGAAGCTGCCCCAGCTCCTGGGAGTGAGGAAACTGCAGGACGGTCCCTGCAGGCTGCTGGGGCCGGACTGAACGACCGTGCGAAGAAGCGGCCCTGGGCACGTCTGCTGCTGAGAAAACAGAGCGTGCTCATCCAGACCCCCCCAGCTGGGCAGAGCGAGTGCGGGGGCAGCGCCAGCCCGCGGGGGCACGCGCTCGGAGCCAAGGCCGCGCACACCCAGGGGCACTTGTCCCGGGTCAGGGGGGACGGGCTGGGCGGCTGCAGCTGTGGGATGGCGGAGGGAAGGGGAGAGGGCGGCTCCGCGTCAGTAGTGCCGCTGGTAGGAGCCCATCGGCGGCTGCTGGGCCGAGGACCCCGCTCGCCCCTGGGCCACGGTTTGGCTCACGAGGTGGGAGAGCGCAGGACCGCTCTGGATAAGGGTGTCCAAGGCTTTCTGCACGCTGGGGTTGTCAAAGTTGATACCAGAAGACACCGGCCTTTGCGCAGGGACGTTGCCAGGCGCAGGGAGGCGATTTTGGTGCTGACCGTAGAGCGACTGAGCTTGTGGAGGGGCTCCAGGTCTTGGACCTGCATTTCTTGAAGGGCCTGGGAGAGCAGGAATCGGTGCGCTTGGAGTCTGCAATCTCTGCTGAGCCTGGTTTAAATTTCCTGCACTCATCTGTGCTGACCGGGCCTGACTGCTGCCCATGTTAGCAAAGTTCTGGTTGGGAGTGCTGCCCGAAGTGCCTGCAGAGGCTGCAGAGCTGCTGTTTGCTACAGCAGCTGCTGCTGCAGCCGCCCCACTGTTGAAGAGACTGAGGATTTTTGCTTGAAGCTCCTGCTGAGGATTAGAAGAGGAGACTGGAACAGAAGGAGCAGAGACCAGAGGCTGTGAACCCTGATGAGCCTGAGAGCTTGGAAGGCTGGACTGACTACCCAGAGATGATCCTGAAGGTGCCCCCAAAGACTGTCTTGACATGGGTGCTGGGAAGGAAAGGAAAGAGGGTTAAAGCTCTGCAAATGCCCTTGAAGGGGCACCTGACAAAAACCAGTGAAGCAGCTTCCAAAGACACAAGCATCAGTGACGACCCACCCTCTGACCCAAACCACTCGTACAACTGTTGCTGCTGTGCAGCAGGCAAAGCGGTTACGGCAGTCCCGAGGTTTCCCTGAGAGGATCCAGTATGAAAGATCTGAACCACCTCAGGACTCCCAGAGGACACGTCCACCTCAAAATGAGGTGCTGTGTGTGGAAGCTACGACACCAGGACTCCTCTGCAATCCCGGGCCATTTTCATGCCCCAGCCCAGAGGGGCCACAAACCGTAGGAATAACAGACACTCACCCTGCAGAGAATCAGTGCTGCCCCTCAGCAGCCGTTCCTTCCGGTCTCTCAGGTAATTAATGACTTTATCAGTCTCCTCAGCAGTCAGGTAGCGATTGTCTGCCAGCAGGTTCAGGAGGGTCTGGATGCCCGGAGGGTGCCCTCCTCTGACACCCTCCTCCACGGGGGGTGGGCGCTCCCGCTCCTGCAGAACAGCCTCATCTGCCATCTTAGCCGCCTGCCGGGCGATCTCCTCACGCTCCTTCTCCCGTGACTCCGTTTTGTAGCGCTCGTAATTCCGTGCCACCAGCACCATGGCATCAGCCTGGGGCATGTTGCGGTGTTCTGCGCAAGGAAAAAAACGCTTTAAGCGAACCAGGTGCCGCTCGCGGGCGCTACCTGGCCTCACACACCCCAGCGCGTCTCGCCCAGAGGCGGGCAGCGCTTTGGGATCGCAAGGCTGGGCCCGGGCACCTGCCCGGGCACACGGTAACAGTTCACTTCCTCAGGCGACAGGAGGCTCAAGGCTACCGCCCAGCGAGGCCGCCCTCTCCTTCCAGAGCCCAGCGCTCTGAGACACCCTGTCAGCCCGGGAAACACCCCTCTTGCCTCTCAGCCCCCTAAAAGGGAAAGCAGCTCCCTCTACCTCTCACATAGATCCTCGGTGCTCCTAGAGGAGACAGTTCCAGCCATTCCACTGCTAAACCCTTGCACAGAGCCCAAACGTCCCTCTGGAGGCCGCTAAAGCCTCCCAGGGAGGGCAGCGATGGGAGGGAACACGTTGGTTCTGCACTGCCGGTGCCTTAGCACAGGTGTGTGCACGCAGGAGACGGGAGGGAGGGAGCACTGGCTCCGAGTCACCCTGCTGCTCATGTTCACGGCTCTGGGGCAATAACCAGCCATCAGGTTCTTCCACGATACAACGACCAATGGTCAATGACAAGGCTGGGGCTTTTTTTTCAGTTGTCTTTTAAAGTTTCTGAGGTCATTATTTCCACCTCACGAAGCATGCAGGCAAACATTCCTCTGAACACAGATTTAAGCAGGGAGATCAGAAGAGGCTTTACCTTCCAAAAAGCATCCAGAGCTCTGGGAACTTCCCAGACCCACAGAACATCGAATCCTGCCACCCTCCTCCTCAGGAAACTGGGGTCCATTTTAACATTATGCTTTGCCCAAGTTGCAAAAGAATTCCCTGAACCTGACATGAACGGAAAGGTGGCTGCGTGTGGAGCAGGTGAGCATATCTGATCTCTAGAAAGAGCTGTGGATGAGCTAATAACCAGGGTTCTTATCAGATCTGATACACCGTTGGATCCAGTCAAGAAGAGGAGACGCCTTAGCGGGAGGAGGGGTATTAAGACCAACAGAGTTGTGAATTAAAACCAAGGGCAGTGGGAAGCCCAGTGAAAATATGCATGAGCTGTATCTCTGCAGGAAAAGAGGGAACCCTCTGATCACATCTGCATCTCATGTTAAAAGATACCGGGCTCCTCAGCCAGTGAGCACCAGACACCAGTGCCTGTGCCCTCGGGAGTTCGCTCCCCCGGACATCACAAAGCACCACTTGGGAACACAGTGAGGGAGAAACAACCTTTGAAAGCTCAACTGTGGTCGAACGAGTCACCTCTGTAAACAGTGTGTGAACAGGCCCACGAGCAGAGCAAAAGGCTGCTGAGATCACATTCTGCAGACGTTTTTTTAATCCCTACACCCACCCTCACACTAGCAACCACCAAGTCACACCCCGAGATGGAAAGTGATTCGACAAGCGTAAACGGCGTTAGGAAGGTGGAGCACGCATACCCCATCACTTGATAGTTCTTTTTATAACTCTCCCCAGTTTCAGGACCAGATCTTTACCCTGACCGAATACACTATCCTTACTCTCCTCCTTAAATCACATTTGCTTCCAAAATCTATCCTGTAAATTGTCACGTTCCAAACACACTCCTTTGAGAGCAAAAAGTGATAAACTGAGGTCGGACTGGTATTACTCAGAAATCTACCAAGGCAGTGGAGTCATTTCTAGAGCTGGTGTTCATGGCTTGCCCCGAGGTGCAAAGGCTGGTGATGTTAGGTGCCAAGAACACAGCTGAAACTCCCTCTCAGCAGAAATTACAGTCCTTTGACAAAGGACAAATAAAGTATTACAGAAGCTTTTAAGTAACAATAGTCGCATTTATGATACGGTGTCAAGTCCTTAATAACTACTTATGTCACAGCAAGGATGAACTCTGTCCTGCTGACTGCTGGACAGTCGCAGAGCAGCGCGCTGAGAGGTTCAGAGCGACCGCACAGCTCCAGAGCCCACGGGGAGTGCGGTACCTTGCGGGGTGCCAAACATGATGTTAACAGTGCAAGAGCGGTGGACTTGATGCTGCTGGGTGATGACAATGGCAAAGGGAGACCCTCCTCTGCTCACGTCGTCCAGGGCTTGCGTCAGCGACATCTCTGTGTTGAGGAAGATCAGGTCCACTACCATGCCCAGATCCCGCACCTTCCGCCCCACCGACTCCGCGTAGTCCCTACCACAAAGCAAAGCCAGCAGTTTAACAAGTCAGTCACATACAGAACAGAATCCCTGGCACGTTCACCCTCTCCGTCATCGCAGATTCACTTTCCTGACGGCTTGCCAAACTACATAATGTTTAACAGGACAGTATTAAAGCAATCTCATTACAATCATATAAAAGCCCTTATTTTGATATGAATCAGTCATTTCAGTTTAACTGAAATAAATTACAAATCAAGCCTTAGCTTAGCTGAGAAACAGAGTGTTTGCAAAGGGATTTACACTATTACAAATTTGTTTACACATAAATGTGTTTAAACTCATTAAGTGAGGTAATTTATGCCTACAGAGATCTAAGGGGTACACAGCAGAGCAGCCAACCTACAGAAGTCAGATATTTGTGCTACGTTCACTGTCAACTGTTCAAATGCACCTTATTCCTTAGTCCTGCTCTTCTGTTCCACCAGCTGCTGCCTGTCTAACCCAGCACTAACACAGCATCTACGGATCCACAGTTCCTGTATCCACTCTCCTGCAGACTTCCCCTTCCAAGCACAAACCACAGCTCGCACGGCTGAGCTTGAAGTCTTCAAATCTTTTTTTGAGCTTACCACACTCAGTACCACAGCCGCAGTCCAGGCTGCGTGTGCACTCTGAGAAATCCAGTCTGCGTGCACCCACACCTTTTGAGAGAGGTTCAGTTTACCGTCTTTGGATGTGAACACTGTAATGATGACTAAAACTGCTCCCCCCTGCCAGCTATCTTTTTAAGGATTTCCAAGTATCTAAGTCATTTGGGAGTCATCTTTCAAGAGGTCTATAGCAGGTGACATCAATGATTCAATACCCAAGATTTATTAACGTGCTCCTGCTCTTTAGGTTTGTAGCTGTTACAGACCAAAACAATTCCTTAGGACATTAAGCTGATCCTCCTGTACAAAAAAATTCTCCCTGCATCAAGTACAACAACTTGTGGTCTATTAGAGTATCTTCCAAAGACTTTTAGTCACCAAGGGATAAAGAATCTAATATTTCCTTTCAAGATCTGTTCCAATAGATAATCAACTCCACTAAAAGCAAACACCAGAAACTTATTTCTAGTTTCCCCACTTCCCTTGTTCCGATTTCCTGCGCTGTCTTCTACCACTGGATCAGGCGAGTGTCAGCTCTGACTCACAAATACAGCAAAGTTAAATAAAAGCAACTCTTGATCTTTCTTCCAAAGGACTAAGACAGCTTTAAATTTCCCCTTGACAAACATTTTCTTCAGACTCCAAGACAGATCTATGCTTTATTTACATATTTGCTATTCTTCAGTATGTTTATTTGTGAAGATACGGACAGCAGAGCGGTGCCATCGTGACAGCCCCCTCCCGCCACACCAGGCATAGGTACCCCATTACCTCAGCAAGCGTTCCAACTGCCACCTGAGATTGGCCTGGCTGCTGCTCACACATGCTCCTGACAGCAGACACGACTACTTCCAGCAGGGGTTTTATACTTCCTGCACGTTGGATTAACAGTAATGGCTGGTATTGGCCTAGTAACCGACCTGACGGGAGCTCTGAAACAAACACCCCCACGACTGCTCTGCACTACCTGCTGGTTGACACAGATTAATACAGCTCTGTGTCATTCAGCCAACAAGTATGGGCCACTACAACCTGTCACAACCGTAGGCTGATAGGGAGAGTAGGTAGAAAGCATCAGGAGAAGGAAGTGATAGGTGACAAGAAGGAAAGTAAAGTAAAGCACAAGATTCAACATTTCTCCAGCTTATCAACACGTATTCCCAGAACAGCAGCAGGAGCTGTAGCTTTCTGAGGGCTCTAAAGCCACGTGGCTTGAGAGCACCCTGTAAGACAAACAGCCTCAAGGCAGGACCAAGTTTAATTCCATCCTCTTCTACCATGCAATAAAAAAATTGATCATAACTATTTTCTTACTTTGTCTGCTTATTCACCACTATCACAGAACAATCCACAGGTCTCTCTGCATCAAAACGTCTCTTGATTTCCTCGTAGTACTGACGGTATAGCTCCTCCCGGCGCCGCTCCTCACGCTTCAGACGGTCTGAAAGCAAGCCACGGGGACAGAGCAAATAACCTCCTCTGGACCTGCTCTAAGTGCCAGCGAACACAACACGCTCGGCACTGTGGGTGCCTCCCACACCCTCCCAGAGGGAGAATGGGGATCTGCCCCTTAAAATGCTACAGGCGCTCACCTTCCGAATTCACCGGTGCTCTATCGAAGTGCTCCTTGTAACGGTCGTAGTAAGAGTCATCCTTCCGCCGATAGTAGTCTTCGAGGCGAAGGTAACGGTCATAACCATCATCTCGTCTGCAACATGTACAGAAGAAGCAAGGGTTTCCACGCTCTGGCACAACCTCGGGCAGTAACTCTCATGTGTAACGTGTCACACGCAGACCTTCCCCAAGTTTAGTTTCTGAAGTGCCCACCTGCCCCACACAAGACACAAAGCGGGCACCCAACCGTCCCCAAGCAGAGCAATCTCCTTACGTTAAATACCCGACACCACTCACACCAGCGCAGCCACAGAGTCAAGAACCATAAAAAACGTGTTGGCAAAGAGAGTCCCGTGGAGATTACCTGTACATGGGGTCCCGAGGGTCTCTCATATCCCGCGGATCCCTCACGTCTCGCGGATTCCTCATGTCCCGTGGATTTCTCACGTCCCATGGATCCCTGTATCTATCATACAGCGGTTCCCGTGGGTCACGAAGGTCTCTAATGTCACGAGGGTCCCGCAAGTCTCTCGGATCCCTGATATCCCGTGGGTCTCGCAGGTCCCGTGGGTCCCTGTGGTCTCTGGCGTCACGCATGTCCCTGGCTCGAATGTCTCGAGTGTCTCTGGAATCTCGCCCGTTTCTACCATCCCTGCCATCTCTGGGGTCTCTCCGTGGGCTCCCCCGAAGAGGGGAGCGGTCGCGCCTGGCGTCACGGCCATCCCCGTAGGCGTATGGTTCTCTGAGGAAAACATCAGGGAAATTCCATTAGACTGCTAACGACAGGAGCATGGCTATCCCCAGTTCTCTTACCTGAGGTGCCAAAGAGACCCTTCTCTCAGCAGCTGAATCCTCCCTCTTATCCCACAACAGCAAGAATTGCCCAAAAACCATACTTGTTGAAGCAGCCCAGAGAAGCTTCTTAATTTTAATGTTTATCACAGTTAAACAAGACCCAGAAATCTCCTTAATGGAGCATCCCTAAAAGTGTAGAGCACCTGTGGAAGTGAACAGGCACCTCAGAAACTGCCATTTCAAGACCTCCAGTCTCATGCACAGATCATCTATCAAACATGCTTTTGCAAATTCTTTTGAGAGAATTCAAGGTGCTGTAACACCCACAAATATGCAATAGCCAGGAGCATTCAAGGGATCCAGTGAATTCACTAGTTAATGACAGCAGAATACCTGAAATAATTTGTTTTGGCATATGATTAAAAAAGGAGCTTGTTGTGATGAAAGACGCTGTTGGTTCCACGTTGCAGTTGGTTTGTGCTGCTGGCAGAGAGCAGTGACAGCTAGCGCCGTGTCCTGGATCTGAAGGGATAGTTCCCACAGAAAGCCAGTCTTATGTTTATGATGCCCCATGTTAAGAGGGTGCTAAACCCAACCAGCACCACATCCTCAGCAGCGACAGGCTTCTCGGTCATATCTGAACGATCCACCTCACTCAGACTTTGCACTGCACTGTCTTCAGAGGCAAGGAAGAATAACATTCCAGTCTTCGCCTTTTCCCAGGTTGTATATTTTTATTTTTTTTTTAGCAAAAACCGTAACTTCACTGTAGTCTAAGCCAAACAAAAAAATTTTGCAGAGAAAGCACTGAGCTTCATGTGTTTGGAATCATCTTTCCCCTGTCAGGTGAAAACTCCAGCTTTTTCAACCTTTTTATTTCCAAAACTTGACAGACTTTGAGAGTCCTCTACCAGCCTAATCTAGTTAATGGCAGATAAGCAGAACAGAAGCCTGCTTCCCCTGCAGCGTGCTCACAGAGTGGTCAGCCAAGAGAATAGGGAGAGCAGCGGCTCGGAGGTGCCCCAGGTTGGCGTCACGTGGAGCAGATAGTGAGGAGACGAAGGTGCAGCGCCCGTGCATGGACCCTGGGGGTCAGACACCCAGCTGTGCCAGGGCTCAGGGGAAGGCTGGCAGACTCTGGCTTTGTGTCAGACACAAAACAGATCTTGGGACAAACTACAGAGCTGCCGCCAAGAGCATATAGAGCTGCCTCCTATAAAAGAAACACTATTTGTGCACAAACAAGTGTGAACTCCCTCAGCCTCCTGTTTGTGATCTGTACTGAAACCACATCCCATGAGAGATGTCATTGCCCCCTTCCCCCAGCCTACAGTGAACAATGGCAGCAGCTCAGCAGAGGGTCCGATCTGCTCTGATGGATACCGAGTAACTGATCTCTCTGTAGCTGTAGGACTATAGAGCAAAACAGCCAGATGCAGTGTAATTGTTTGGCATATGACATTTATTCCAGCTGGAGTAGGGGTGACCAGAACAGGCCACAGTCATTATCTGCAGAGACAAAAGGATCTAGAATGAACCGTGCACAACTGCAACAGAATCACCGATGTGGCCCGGGTCCCTCCGCTCTCACACCTGTGTCGCTGCCCTGCTGCTTGTGGAGAGGCAGCACGAAGGCACAGCAGCTTCTGCTTCCGCACCTCGGGCTCCAGGGCCCAGCTCCTGCAGCTCCACACGCAGCCGTTGCTCATGGGCCCGCAGCTGGGTCCAGGGCCCGTCGTCCACAGCCATGCCCGGGGCTGGCACAGGACAGCCATGGCGTCTGCAGCGCCAGCCCGGGCTCGCGCCCGGCGCGGTGGCACCAAAGCCTTCGGCAGCCATGGAGGTAGTGCTGCCTCCAGCGCTCCCCGGGCCTGTCAGGTGGGCGCCCGCTGCCGGGCACAGGGGGGTGCCTCAGGGCCAGTGCCACCACCCGCGGTCCGAGGACCAGCGCTCGGGTGTTACCCCCCTGCAGCACCTGAGGCCAAAGACGTGCTACCAGTGCCTGCGGCCGGGTACTCGCAGTGTGCTCATGGTCCTCCTGCCAGCACCACGCGCTCCTGGCGCTGCCCAGGACACGCCACATCTGTAATGGGAACCCCCAGCCACGGGCTCGAAGCGTTTCCTGGGCCCAATACCCAGTGCGGGTGCCCATGAGTGCATTCGGCCCCGTGCGGGGCAAGTGCAGCACATACAAAAGACCCAGATGATGCCAAGAACTGCAGCCACTCATTCTCTGTTTTTCTGGTGGTAGATGTCTTGCTGGTTGCACTTTTTCCTCATTTTTGGTAATTTAACCGGTCAAGTTAGCAGAGCACACCAGACACGTGAGAGCTTGATTACCTTCAGGTCCAACAAGCAATGCTCCTTCACACAGAAAGCTTTACAGTATCAGCACAGAGGGTGCAGGCCTTGCCCCAAACACAGCCACGGCCTCGTGCGCTCCCTAGTGACGCCATGGAAAGGGACCCGACGCTGTCTTCCTACAGCAGGACAGGCTGAGTCCTCTCCACTTGCCTGGAGCTGGTGCGGAGGCAGCGCAGGAGCTGCAGGGGGAGCCCACCGAGGGGGGTGCCAGAGGCTGTGGGTACACAGTGCTCCCATGCAGACCACAGGCGCAGGCAGACAGAGCAATAGAAATGTCTGCTCTGCCTCGTGCTTCGCTCACACGCTCTTTTCCAACCACATTTCAGCACTGGAGGCTTTTGACACGGGAAGAGGCAAGATCCCAAGGTCCCCCGCAGCACGGCCCCGGGAATGCCACAGCCCCTCCGCGTTCTCCAGACACGCCTTGGCTTCGCTGATACTTGAGGCAGGAGCAAATGTCAAGCGTATTCTTCCTCACAAGACTTACAACCTGTGCTGCAAAACATAACGCTTAGCTGTAGTAACAGCAGCAGGCACGAGGCTCCCCTCGTGCCTCCCGAGGTGTCAGTGCCAGAAGGGCTCTCGGAGCAGGAGCAGCCACGTCCCGACTGTCTGGCGTGAGCGTCTCCATTTGACTGGGGAGGCAGCGGTAGGGAAGAGACACAGACATTTAGCACAGGCCGCTGGGCTCACGCCCTAAAAGCCTGACCTTCCTAGTACAACTCACTGCTTCCAGGTACTTTACCTTCGTGCCGGACTGGACCTTGATGAAGCCTTATTCATATTTCTTCTTTCCACTGCTTTTTTAATATCTGTAAAGAATAATCAACCCATCTGTTCAATGCTATGGAACAAAAAAAAGATCATCAACACAATTTAAATGAAAGCAACTTAAGCTCAACAACATCCAGATGGTGCAAGAAGATCCATTCAGCAGGGAGACATTGTCACTTTGACAATTTTTTTATTAAGTTTAGATAGTACAGCATAATGAAATTTTCATGGATTTCTCTGACTTCAAAATAGGGTGGACAGCTTGGGTGAAGTTTTAACCCTTTACGTTCAGGCCTACATCCAGACTCTTCGTTCCACAAGAGAACCTCTTTCTTCTGCAGTCTATGAGCGAGCAGAAAGCGACTCATGGACTCTAGGAGAAAAAGCAGAGTCTGAAAACCTCCAGGAACAGAAGCTGATGGCCAGCACAGTCTTAAGTTCGCAGCCAGTCCTGATCAATGGCGCATGCCGCTACCCTTGTTGAAAACAATCCAAGGGTTCTCAAGTGGCACATGCAACTGCCTTCAAGGGACTGCTGCACCGTTAAGTTGTACAGCCTCCACCACTGAGGGAACGGGATCCGAGGAGCCCGAAGCACAAGCTCCTTATAAAGTCAGTGTGGTGCATTCAAAACACCACTGTTAATGTGATGCAAACTGATGCCACAGATCAGAAATTTGAAAATTGGTTGGCTTCTGAGCATTTCCATGAAAAACACCATGAAGTGAAATACAAAGAAGTAAGAGAGCTGAAGAAACAAGAGTCTTGTCCTCCACCAGAAAAAGTGAAGTTGCCCAAAAGTGGCAGGGGCCCGTATTGTTCTACTGTGAAGAAACAAAACCTTGGATAGCAGCTGACTGCGGATGAAATAACACACTGGAGGGGGGCAAGAACAAACAGAAATGACTTGGGATGTTTTATTCTCAGAGCCTTTTAAGGAAAAGGACAAAACAAACCTAGGTCTTATCTGCTCCCTGATAATCTATCAACAATTAAAACTTATTATTTACAGTAACTACCCTCAAAGCTCTTGCAAGAGAATAAACATGCCAGTGTCTCTGGGCAGACTCAGCCTTAACATCTTCTGTAACTTCCCAAACTACCCTTCATTACTTTCAAGATTAAAATTAGAATTAAGGGATTAGTTCTAATTTTTGTTCTTGTTGTCAATCAATAAGCAGCACGCTCTCTTTTTTGGGGGGTGAGAGAAGCAAATACAATCTGAACCTTAACTACAAATGCAGCGTAACAACGGCTACAGGAGCACAAAGCAGTCTCCAGGGTCAAATACAGCCATGCTGTCTACTGTCACAGACAAAACTTGATAAGCATTTATTCCCTACATCATTTTACTCATTAAAGATACGAAAACACTTCTATGCATTTGTGGAAGTATTAGTATAATGCAACACTGGAGTTAAACTCTCCCAAATACTTTTACCTTATTGCATTATTAGCAATTCTATTTAATACTCAGACTGCATAACTGAAGCAACTGTTCTTGCATTTATTTTTTGGTTGAGAATTTCCCCCCCCGCCCCTTAAAGTCAAGTGTTATCTTTAAGCAACACATTATCTGCTTTCTTTGGTTTAAAATTATTTTTATTTTGTTTTAAGATGCCATTATAAAAACCTATTATGATTTTTTACACTCAATACCATACATTTCTTTCAAATTAAAAAATAATGTATTTAAAACTGAACAAAAATATTTTACTAGAAGAAAAACACCTTTGACAGGGATCCTTCTCTTGTGCCAAATGAAGAGATTTAATAATGTTTTATTTAATGCCAACAGCATTTACAGGTTAAGTACTTGAACACTGACAAAGCTTCCAAGAAAAGAAAAAAAGTCTTCTGTCCTGTAGGATTTTGAGATGACGAGGCCACTGCACTCATACAGTGTAACCTTCTGAATAAACACGTGACAAAAGTTTCTCAATTCCTATCTCAAGTGCAGCAGTGACATTGAATTAGAGATTATTTTTTAGCAAAAGATCCAATTCCAATTTAAAAGTCTTCCAAGCACAAAAACCACCAAAGCTCCAATAAATTATTCCAGAAGCAAATTACTTTGCTGTTAAAGAAAACTATTTATTTCCATTTAAGGACTTGTCAGACCTAACCCTACTAGATTAAAACTCACTCATCTCCAGGTCTGTAACACACACATCACATCACTCCTTTATCTTGAAGCTTTTGCTAGGGCTTGTTCTTCAACTTTTTAAGCCTTCTTCAGGTTTTTCTGAGGCTTCTCCAATTCAGCATGATCCTTTTTGAACCAGGCATACCAGAACTGAACACAATATTCGAGCAGCAAAACCCACAGGTACCAAAACCTCCCTGCTCACAAACCTAGGGGTGGCGAAAGCTCTTCCTGGGCACAGATCTGCCCTTCTGGCTTTACTGAAAGCTCAGTTCTGCCTGCACCCAGCTTAAGAAGAAGTCCAGGTCATTTCACCATCAGTGACTCAATCTTCATTATTTCATTCTCTTTTTAACACGATTGTGTGTTTTCTTTCCAAGTCACTTATAAAAGCACTGCATGGCCGGGAATCAATTTTTCCAGAGCACCACTCAAAGCACTGAGCAATTCCATCTACGTTACACTGAGATTCATCTGAAATCCATTTCACCCTATGTCGTTTTTCATTGTTCTAGCTTCTTAATCAAATCAAACATCTTAGAGAAGTCTTACATCAACACTGCCACTGTCAGCCATGAAACTTGCAGCATCCTAAGAGTGAGTTTGACGGGATTTGTTTTGAGTGGCACGAATCCCCTTCTCAGCGAGGGAGAGTCAGGTGAAAGCATCCCTTTGGTCTTGGGGGCTGATGCCAGGCTCAGCCCACTTAGGCTGCCTGCTGGCACACCGGCAGCACTCTGCTCCAGCCCTGGAAACTCCCTAGTTTTCCAAGGCTTGTGGAAAAACAACATTAACAGCCCAGGCAGGTCCTCACCTCACTGATTCTCATAGAGGTTAGAATTAATTTTGAGAGGTCTAGTTTTGGTAGCTGCTGTTTTACTTTTTTTTTTTTGCTAGTGAAATGGAAATGATATTAAGAAACCTTCTGCCTCCTCAAAAGTAGACAGCAGAAATGTTAACTGAGGACTAGGTGGTCCTTCCCAGTTAGAAATGTTACCATTTCCAGACAGCTACTCCTTAGCCTCTAAAACAACCGCAGCTGTACCTGCTTAAGCTTCTAGACTTAGACAATGCTAGCTGTAATTTCTTCTTGTATCCTTCTACCCTCCTGGTCTATTTGCTTCCATTTCCACCTTCAGGCCTGTATTTGTTACTGTACATGCACCTTCCCACAAGTTATTATTTATTGCTCCTTTCATGCCTTTCTAAGTCAAAATGGTTTTCTTCAAATTAGCACAGGCTTACTCCAAAGGTAATTTTTTTGCTTGCATTTAATAGATTACCTTTACATTTCTAAGCATTCATTTCTGTTTAAGTTTGCTCCCAGCATATTTAGCTGAATTATTTTCATCTTGATGAAAATGGCCTTTTTAAAGCATCCAGTATTTATAGCACTACTTACAGATTGATTTCGCATGTGAAAAAAAAAAACAAGTTAAGATTACTCATCTAACAAGCTGCTAAGCGCTGTGGCCAATTCCTCTGAACCTGAAATTTGGCTTACAAATATTTTTAAGACTATGTGCATGAGGTTTCAATGACCACTTCTCAGGGCTTACATGTTGAACAGTTTCTTGCACAGGGCAATAGAGCTTTTCAAATACTAACACATAAAAATAAGTTCAGAGTAAGACCTAGGTGGCAAGATGAACCACACAGCACTTAGAGCAAATAACTAACTCAGAATACAAATATATACCTAGAAAAAGTGGTTTCAGACTAATGCCAGGCAAGTTTCACATAGTGATCTTTCCAGAGAGCTTTACAACAAAGGCACTCTGTCTACTAGAACGCATGCTGGGGTCAGGAGAAGAGCATGGATCAGTTTTCCTTACCTAATCTATAGCCTTTATAAAGGCGACCCTTCTCACCGTCCAGAGCGGCCTGGACATCTTCTAGACGGTCATACTGCACGAACCCATAGCCATGGTACATGCTGAGGGCTGGAAAAGTTAACAGCAGGGCAAGACCGGTTACAACTACGGGACAGTACTAACCCACACCCAGGCTGTCGCGTAACCCCACCAGGTGAACAAGCAAAGGGGCTCTACCCAGAAATGACTATGCAAGCTTCCTGGGAAAATCAAATCTGCCAGGATCAAAATGCAGAGCCTAAAGACTCTGAAATACATTTCTTAGATCAACTTCCTTCTGACAAGGCAGTGACCAAAATACAGCCTGTGAAGTGACCAAGATTTGATTAAGAGACCATGAAGTCACTTGAAAGAACAATGTAAAAATCAGACTGCAACCCCAAAAGATAAGACATAGCTGATATATATGCATTACGTTTCAGCTGTACTGAAGGAATCACTTGTTCAGAGAAAATGCAGGTAGAGAATATTATCATTAAAAGGTCACTTTTCAGGAACAACATTAGTCATTCCTCTCATAATCATCAAATAGCATTTGACAAGCATGAAAGTTATATTTCTCACTGAATTCCCAGCCACAAAAAGGCATAAGACAATATACTAACCCCTGATTTTGCCATATTTTGAAAATATCTCTTCCATTTCTTCACGAGTCATGTGGTCTGTGGGCAAATTGCCGACAAAAAGTCTTCTCTCTAAATCCTGAGGATTGGTGCTGTTAGTGAAGTCGCTCTGTTTGATGCTATTGCTCTTGCGTCCTCGAGCCATTTTGCTTTCGTTCCAAATCCAACTCTTCGCAAAAAAAAAAAATGGCCATGTATATAATTTCAATCCATGACATTAAAATTAAACTGGAACAAGATTAAACTTAGCAGCTTTGCAGACTAGAAGCCCACTGGGCCTGCTTGATGCAAACTTCACTCCAGAGAAATCTTAATACAAGGGATACAGAGGTCTGGCAAAAACGTACACGGCAGCGTTTTGGTTGAGCTTGTCTGTAACATGGAAAGGTAGCAAACCTAATTATTTTGCAGATAAGTTTTAATGGTTTAACTCCAAACTAAGGTGCAAATAAAACTCATTTTCCACTAAAACGTCTTAACTTTAAGCTTTTCAATACACCCATTGTTGTCATATCTACTTCTCCAGTTCAGTTTAAGAAGTGTTGGAATTTATGCAATATTTTAATAAGCAGAAAGGAAACACTCATTGCAACATTGCATAACAGGACCCAAATATTTCAGTACAGGTTTTGACTGAGATATCAGGAAGTGCTGTTTAAATGCTCTTAAGTGGCCACACCTGTATCACTTCACCAAACATGAAATCTTCACTTTCTGATACCAGAAAACAGTTTTCTCATTCAGCCCCCTAGGAAACAACACATCTGCATGCCCATCGAGGTGTCAGCTCCCACAGAAGGCGGGTCCACAGCTGAGAATTTAACCACCCCACGTCAGTGCAGTACCGCTACCTCCTCTCCCCCAGGCCAGCAGAACTCTTCCTTAACCAGCACCACTGCAGACAAAGCTGGAGCAGCAAGTGATAGTTGCCGCACAAAGTTACCCAAAGAACTCAGAAAAACCCCACCAAATAAAAAAACAACATAAACTCTCCCAAGCTAACAAAAAACCCCAGCAAAGTCCACCCAGGATTATACTTTCTGGTATAAAAATCACCATTACATGAAGCTTTAAAAAAATTTAAAACCCTGAAACTTTCAAGCTGAACTTGAAAATTTGAAAACTATTTAATAAAGTTGCCATAATTCCTAGACATTAATCTACAGGAATGCAGCATGGGATTTTCTGTTTACAACATGCAAGACATCTGGAAAAAGAAAGCTGATGAAATTGAGTAAATCAACAGAAACTTCTGCTGTTAGTCCTGAGATGCCTACAAGCAGCATGCTCCCTAACAGTAACCTATACTCATCACAATTTATAAGTCATCTCTAAATAAACAAGTCAAACATCCAAAACTATTAAAAAGTCTTATGTAAATACTTTTACAGCAGTTAACTGGCATGAAAGATACATTTACTCCAGATTTGAGACATAAAATTTGGTTTTTAAGATCAATCAGCTTCACATTTGTATCATTTTTCTCCAGCTTTTAGGGAACCCTGCAGGGATGGGAGGCAGAGAACACCTCCCAGTCTAAGAAACTTTTTTTAAAATGAACTGCCAGAACAGGGAGGAGGAAAAAACCCCAAGACCCAAACCAAAATCGAAAAAAAAAGTAATTGTATTTGCCTCAATCCTCCTGTAAGTTTATCTACACACACAGTTTTACCTTCCCCATCACAAGTATTAAATCTCATCCCATTTTCCTGTAGGGAAGCACTGGGTTTCTCTTCTGTTCTACTACTGCAGCTCAAGTTCTCATCGTTTGAGGGGAAAGAAGTTTTCAAAATTCTCCCAAAATGATTAAGTGGCTATAAAACATGGAAAGACCCATCTCGTCCAAGTTCCCACTGTCACGGCCTTCCCCAGCCGGGCTCCGAGCGCCGCCGGGGCTGGGGACTGGCCCCTGCGAGCGGCTCCTCGGGCAGCGCGACCTGCAGGTACAGTCCCGGGGTGTCACGTGTAGACACAGCAAACAGGCATCAACAGGACTCCTACTGCTGCTGGCAGGATGTTGCCTTTCGGTACAAAAAGCATAAGAAATTCCCTTTTTTCTTAGGGGTAGGGATAGCAGGGGGCAGCTGGGGAAAAGGGTGCAAGAGCTTTCCATAGGAGGAAAAGCAAGGAAAGCAGGGACCTATCTTTGCACTAGCAGGTCACTTTCAAACCAAAGCAATAAATCCCAAACGCTCAGACGGGTTGAACTACCAGAGAACTTTCGTATAAGCATTTACTGCCTCTCACCATTTTCCACTCAGTAGATGACATAGTTAAAGGCCATTTAGGACTCATAAGACCAGAATAAATTACTTTTGCCCCTGGTGTAGGCATGCTACACCAGGTGGACAATTAATTTCCACATTAAATCTTTTTTGTGTGAACGCAGCCGCGGAGGCCATCCACACACCGGGGCAGCTTAACAGCGCCAACGCCCCCCCTCCAAAACCGACTGCCAGGCCGAGCAGGTTCCTACACCGGGACAGCCCACATGAGCTGCATGTGCCCGGAAATCCTCTGGAAGTTAATTAAAGCCACATTCCCCTAAAAATCTTTGATTTAAAACCAAATTTATTTATTAATAGCGCTACAGCTTCGGAAAGTGATACACTACTTAAGAAGGATATTGAAACTAACTCGACACAAGCGGAACACGACACACAATGCTGCAGAAAGTTCCTGGGCAAGGCAGAAAAAATAAAGGCAGCCCCCGCTGGAAGGGAGGGTGCTGAGGAGCTGGAAGCCTCCCAGCCACCCCCCGCCGCGCCCCCAGTAGCCAGGCC